TCACGATCTGACAACTGGCGCACAGTCCACCTGACGTCAGCGCATTGGAACCGAATGGATGGCCGATGTCGGAGCGAAATTGTGAGGCAACAAATTTTCAACTACAACTACGACTCAAGGTAAGAAGAGTACAACATACAAACAAAATGGCTGCCTGCTGCAAGAAAAGAAAGTCCTTAATATTTTCATGAATCACAGGTTGGCAGGTCTGTGCTTGGTGGTGCCACGCATGTGTACCCAAACTAGCAGACCGATTAGCACAGCACAATGTGTTCTCTTTTTCTCATCAATAATATTGACACGTGATTAAGGTAACTGGTGGGATAGGTAAAATCAAGAGTCCGCAATAGAAAATTGTCCATAACGCATAATACGCATTCCAATGTACTGTGAGGTAGTGGTGTAACATATATGTTTTACAGATATTTACATAGAGTAGTCAGTGGAGTTAGAGACTAGGGGTTGTTTTAGTAATAGTCTATCTAGACACAGCGTCGCGCATTTTGTGTGGCCGCATTGATGTTACAGGGAATTGGATTTAAGCGTGTTTTAGGTTAGCAGGGTTCAACATTAACTTTTTATTTCACTAGACCATCGGGCTAGTAACTGAGGAAAACCACTAGCCCTGACCTAACTTTCACTAGACCATCGGGCTAGTAACTGAGGAAAACCACTAGCCCTGACCTAACTTTCACTAGCCCAGACCCAGACCATTGTTATGAAAAACTTTATTTAGATAAGAGTGCCATCGTATGAATTCATAGATGCTGTTTCGCGCGCTTTAAATCGCGCGTGGGTCGTGCTCACGTGCAGCATTCGTATTCTACCACGGGCGTATTCTACCACTCGTATTCTACCATTCGTATTCTACCACTCGATCGTCTACTGCGGCTGGCAGCAAGCCAGGTTATTGTTTTTGCCGAAGGGTAGACTGGTATCCGGCCTCACGTTCTGCTAGACAATGTACACGCTCTGCGACAAACAGTGCGGCTGCAAACCAGTGTAGCCAGAGGTGACCTTTCAGTGCAATATGTATGACCAATTCTAACACGACCAGTCGGGCTACTAGCACTCTGGTTGTATGCGACCGGACCAAGCATTTGCCTGACTAGGTCGGTCGGACGTGGGTTAAAGGCAGATTCTCGAGTCATTGTGAAATAGGTGTGCAGATCAATGTAGGAGTGGTGAAGAGTCTGGTTGTGGTCGCGAGAGTAAGCACACGCGCTTACGTGCGTGTGCGCGTTTCTTTGTCTCTTTGTGCAAGATGGACACACTGTGTGCGAGCATATATTAAAGTTTATTCAGTTAATACACAAGTTCAGGGTTCTCCAAGCTTTTTCATTATAGCATGGCGGGGCTGCCTTTACGGTCCTAGTTTTAGCATGTTTTAGCTCATTTTAGCATGACGGCTATGATATTTAGAGTGGCGGGGCTCGACGATAGCCTGGCGGGCCGCCAGGCTATAAGTGCTCTTGGAGAACTCTCAAGTTTGGATTCCTTTTTCATCATTTCTGCATCGAACTTTAATTCATCGTTACACTGAGCCAGTGACAGTCCAAAACCTGGGTATTCCTTTGCGGACGCAACGTAAGGTACTCCACTATGCCGATCTACGGGCCATACTACGCAAGGAAGATGGAGAAGGAAGAAGACACAGGAGGATTCGCTGGGTACACCGCTGGCAAGAAAACTGGTGAGAGCGAAACGGAGAGCAGACGAGACGGAGGAAGAGAGAGAGAGAGACGGGAACAACAGCAAGAGTAGGAGAAACGAAGATCGACGGAGAGCGAGACGAAGAATGACGGAGAGCGAGAGAGAGAGAGAGAGAGAGACGAAGAATAATGGAGAGCGAGAGAGAGGGATGGAAAGATCGAGACGCGGGAGAGAGAACGGTGGATACACAAAGGCGTAGGAACTACTGTGAGTCAAGGCTAACTCAGGTCGCCCTTACGACATAGTCGTCGACAAAATTTGAAGATCGTACGTCAAAAACTGGCCAGATCGCCGATAAAAAACATCGACGACCAAACTCGACATGAGTTCTCTTACGATCGAAAATACGGTCGCCGACTGCAATCGCAGGAAAGAAACGGTTCTATTTCTATGCGGCGGTCGGCGACAAATCGAGAGTGGCAGCCAATCACCGCTATGTGTCGAGTCACATGATTAACAAAATGGCAGCAACCCCTTCTCAAACCCTGAACAAACCCTTTCTCAAATATATATAAAGTTTTCCATATATCACAGGCAATTTTTAAAATTCTTTTTCTGCACATGATTACAACGATTTTCAGAAAATTTAGGATAGATTTACGAAGTTACCTGATGTTTACTGGTAAGCGCCGTTTTGTTGGTCATGTGACTCGTTTTATGTAGACTGGTACCGGCGTCAAGCTTGCTCTGTTTGTGCTAAAGAACTGCTTGTGCTAGTACAAATACTGGGGGCCGTGAACCCGTCTACGTTTCCTACAGAACTCTACGATCTGATCGGCGATGTACAGCGTGAAGTCACTTCAAGTCGACGTGAGTGTTGCTACGCTGCTAATCGGCGAGAAAGTAGTCGCCGATAGTCAAATCGTAGGGTGACCTGAGCAGGGCTTAAGTCAGCATGAAGGAAGGAAGGG